GTTCACAAAGTGCTGTGCCTGCCACGAAATCTGCACTTCGATGTTCACAAAGTGCTGCGCCTGCTACGAAATCTGCACGTCAAGGTCCACGAAGTACTGCGCCTGCCAGGAAGGCTGCAAATGAGCCACATGCACCTGTCACGAAATCAGAGCGGCTCGAAGATCACGACCATGTCCAAAGTACTGTAACGAAATCTGCACTTCGAAGTAAAGCCGCTCCGATCCCTTGCACCTGTCACGAAAAGTCGACTTTGGACCACCAAAACACGAGGTTTCCCTTGCGCCTGCCACGAAGTGGAAGATGCGCACGGCACCACAACAAGAGCGCAGTCGCTAGAAGCACCCGCCGCAACCACCCAGATTTCGCGAGCCTGCGCAGTCAAAATGCACTTCGAGGACTTCGAGAGGCATGACTGTACTGTAAATAGCTGTGAATTAGCCTTTGACGTCCGCGCGGAACAGCGATCTAAGCACAGCTGCTTAACACTTACCGTAAGCACCCCTAAGTGTGTCCACACTGTTTGGGGAAAAAAGGATCTTTGTGGAAATGCCTTCCAGAGCACTTATTCGAATATTCAATTGGACAGGTGTGGCCACATGGCCTGTCAGTTTGCAGATAGTAAGGCCATCACGCAGACCCCACCCCCCACCAACGTGACAATTCACAGCAAGAGAAGCTGACTCGAATATAGAAGGGAATGTCAAGGGATTTTTCAAGGCAATGTCAAGGGAAGAGCAGCAGTCCATTGATACGGATCGATCAAGATTCTCCAAGGCATAGGGCAAAGAACCCGGTGGTTTTGCATCCTTATTTGTCTGCCACAGTCTGTTTGTTTGTTCATAATATGTCTTTATGTGTGCTCTCATATTTGCGCTCTCACCTGTGAAAACTCCGTACTATTGGGGGTGCAGATTTGACCATGCCTGCAAAACTGATGAAGTGCTTCCGTGGCATGTCTAGTCTAGTGTCTTCCAAAACTCTATCACGTTTCATGCTGTTTCTGTTTCAGCCTAGGTCTTCCGAAAGAAGGTTGTCTTGTGGCTGTGCGTGCAGAAGGTGACGATATGTGAAGACAAGTTTGTTGAACAAAAGGCTGAAAGAATGCTATGCCGGCACAGGTAACAGTTTTGCTGCGGCTGTGGGCCGACTTCGGATGGCTCCAAACGCAATTGTCGGATCGAAGCTGTGTGCTTAAAGTGTCTCAATTGTTTGTACAAACAATATTTTCTTCATGACTTGCGGGACCAACCGAAGATTTGTAGATTGTAGAAGTGGTCCACTTTGCATTCCAACAGCATAGCAGTTTTGATGTTCCCAAGGGGGGAGGCTGTGGAAGTTCTCCATTTTTTTGGCGACGCCCTTTGGGAGGCGCAAGTTGAGAATACTGAATGCTTTTGACATTTTTCGACTCCTTAGACTAAGATGATTCCCCATATTGGAGTCGTCAGTCAGGTAATGGGCAGCCCAAGACCTGCTGGCTTCATAGGCCGGGATGAAGTCTTTTGGGATGCATTCTCAGCTCATGCTATGATTGAAACTTCTATCACTTCTGGTTTCGGCCCGTCAACTCCAGCTGTTTGCTCCTAGCTATCTGCGCCAGCCGGTCCAAGCAAAAGCAACCAATTCCAGTCGTCAGTGCACTTGCTGCACCAATATCATCATCGCAAGACTGGTGCTCGGTGGTTTTGTTTGTCGCTGTTTGTCGTGCCGCTGGGTTGGGATTTGGTAGTCATGAGCAATGACTGTTGGCAATGGATGGTAATGTTTTTGTTTTTTGAATTGCTGCGTTGACTTTGTGATTTGTGGTGCTTCTGATTATTTGCAAGTATGTTTTCTGTGGACTAGGCTTGTACTTACTTGATGATGTTTCCAGTCTGCCAGTCTGCCGCATAGGGGTTATTTGCCCTGTTCGTGAGCAGGATCCAATTTGCTTCATAGGCAGCTCACCCAAAAGGTATGCCCTTGAATGGTCATGGCACGGCTTTGCAAGGTGCTGGAAACCTTGCACGGCACGGCAAAAGACTTTTAGCATCTTATCAGGCTTGCTTAAGCACCTTGAAACCACTAACCCTTGGTCCTCTCCCGCACACCGATTTGGGAAGTTTAGGTATGCTTAACAAATGTGCTATGGTCATGGTAGGGAAGCAAGGGTTTTTCCCTTGGATGGTCCATGCTTCCCATATAATGCAAAGACCGGATTAATAACCCCCCTCCCCCACGTGGAAGGTCTAGAAGGTGTAGAAGGTCTGAGGTACCATTCATGAGGTCCACCTCCCCTGAATAAGGCATCTAGATCAAAAAAGAAATAAACAGAGCATCACAAAAAAAGATGATCAAGAAAAGATGATTAAAACAAACATATTCCTGGATAGGCCTTTTCTGCTGCTCTCCTGGCCCCTCTGGTCCTTTAGTCCGCTGGTCTACTGGTCCTTTGGTCCCCTGGTCCCTTGGTCCTATGGTTACAGGCCCTTTGGTTGGTCCGGTCCCGTGGTCTCCTGGTCCTTTCCCCTCCTGCTTCTCTGGTCTGCGGGTTTCCCATGGTTTTCTCCTTGTTCTTTCGCTGCTGCTTTTTGATGCCTTTGGTCCTTTCTCTTGTAGCTTATTGGCCGCAGTTTTCCTGCAAACGTACAATGCTTTTGGCTTCGGTTGCCTTAGGTCCTTTTGTGCACTCTTAGATGCCCTTCACTGAAAGGACGATAGGGTACATAGTTTCTAGTGATTTCTTTTGTGGCGCTGTGTTTTAACGTTTGGTTCGCTTTGAACGCGGGGCGCTGCGCCCTCTCCCCAACCCCCTCCAGCACCACGAAATCTGCACTCTTGCGCTGTGCCTGCCACGAAAACTAACTATGTAAAGGGTCGCCCATCGCATTTGCAGATTGTCCTCCCGCTTTCTTAATCGTTTGCCACTACCCTGCCATTACCAGTACCTCCAACACCAGTCTTACCACAGTTACCGCAACTACTATCTTCTTTGCGTTGACATTGACAGTGCCACAAAGGTGGATGATAAGGCCCACCTTTGCTTAGCCGTGGCTGCGCCCTCCCCCGCACCCCATCCCACATTTTTAATAGTTCCCACTACCCCTGCCAATACCAGCGCCTCTATCACCCCGACACCCCAGTACGAGTCTTACCACAGGTACCACAACTACTATCTTCTTTGCGTTGACGCTGCCCCAAAGGTGGGTGATAAGGCCCACCTTCGCTTAGCCGTGACAACGCCGCAAAGGAGGATGATAAGGTCCACCTTCGCTTAGCTGTGCCACCGCCACAAAGGTGAATTAAAGTGCAGGCTCAGCTCTGAGAAACCCACAAAGTTGGATGATAAGACCTTCACCTTGAGCTGTGACGCCCAATTAAGCCAATCAAGAAACGAAGCAGCCCAGCGCTGTCTATACTTGATTTGCATTGCGGGAAGGGCGCTGCGCCCTCCCCCGCACCCCCTCCCGCTTTTTTAATAGTTCCCACTGCCGTCGACTACCCCTACTATTGCCAGTACCTCCATCACTCCGACCACCCCACCCCACTACGAGTCTTACCACAGTTACTACAACTAAACTACCATCTTCTTTGCGTTGACGCTGCCACAAAGGTGGAAGATAAGGCCCACCTTCGCCTTCGCCTAGCGTGACAGCCAGAAACCTTCGATTAGTAGGAAGTGCTGTGCCTACCCCTACTACTTCCACCACCACCACCACCACGACTACTGCTGCTACTACTACTGAACTACTACTAAACTACTACTAAACTACCACTACCACCACTACTACTACTACTACTACTACTACTACTTCAACTTCTATTTCTACCACTAGTACTACTACTACTACCACTACTACTACTACTACTACTACTACTACTACTACGACTACTATTACTACTACTACTATTACTACTTCTACTACTACCACTACTACTACTACTACTGCTACTACTACTACTACTACTCCCCCTCCTCCTCCTCCTACTCCTACTCCTACTCCTCCTACTACTACTACTACCACTACCATGTAACGACTTTTTGAGCCGATGCTCAACCCCAACCATCCTCACTGGACTAGAATATTTTTTTGATTCCCCTTTTATTTTCTTTTTGATCCCCGCTGAATATGTTTTTATTCTATGTTTTTTTTGATCCCTTACCCGCTGAATAATCTGCTCAGTGAGTAGTCGTAGTCGTAGTGGTAGTCGTAGTCGTCGTCGTCATCATCGTAGTAGTAGTAGTAGTAGCAGTAGCAGTAGTAGAGTAATACCAAAATTTGACCCGGTTGTGGGCTCGGGTTCTAGACCATTCAACCACCAATACTACCTATTTTCGGAGACTTTTTGGGCTCGGATTAACTAGGGAGGCTAATTATTCCGATGTTTGCATTATCAACCATCCTCTGATCTTATGCCTGCCAAGTATGTTCACTTGACATGGGTGTGGTTCAGGTTGTGGTAGCAAGGCTACATGAGAGAAGGAGCAGTGGTGACGTATGATTTTTTGGTGTGTCTTAGAAAGAACATTCCCAAATCTAGGAGCTGGAGATTTGCTCGCCGCAGCTTGCACTATCACTCGAAGTGGTAGCTCCCACTCTGAACCCACTTGGGAAGACTTGTTTTTTGGTGTGAACTCTTGTGGCCGAAATGGACACCACCAAGCTGCTGGGATGCTGTGGAGTGTTGAGGTTTTGCACACAATGGTTGTTTTGCCAGGCGATCAGATCCATCCAACAGAGGCTCAGGAAGAAAAGGAAGAAAGAGGAGTGAAAGAAGAAGAAATTGTACAAGCTCCCGCTCCAGAAGCGGAAGTGAAGGACATGTGGCAACCTGAAAGATCTGAAAGCAACTTGTGCTGTCGAAGTGTGCAATGTGGTGCTGCTTTGCAAAGGCTTGACCAGCCTGACCGCGATATGACACACATGATTCAGAATCTGGAAGAGTGCCTCTTGCAGGCAGCTGGTGGTAAACAAAGATCAAAGATTGTATCATGCCAATGATGATACTGACATACATCATACATAGACACACGCAGTTTTCTGGTTTCTTTGCTTTGGCAGAGTGTGCCAGGCCTGCAAAACACGGATTAAAGACCGCGATTTGCCATTCTCTGAGGATCTTAAAAAGCCTGACCTCTCTGAAGCGCAGGCTATATATATATAACATATATACAGTAGTTCACATGAGGTTACAATTGATTGTTTACAAATGTTGCATAGCTTTCAAGTTTACATCCAGCAAAGATGAGTTCCAGTTTTGCCGAGACTTGAGGCCTCTTCCTGGGAACGTCCTGTATGCTCAGCACATGAGACCTTGCAGGACGGGTTGGACAGGTTCCTGGAGCCAGAATTGAAGCGGAAACATGCGGTGCATTAGGAGAGCTGGGTCCAATATCGATGTGAAGGCAAACCCGTTGCATCAAATACTGTTTCTGTCAAACAGCTGAATCAGATCCTAAGCTTTCCACTGCTGCCTGTTGAACCTTTCCAGTCAGCTCGGGGCGCTTTGGGACAGGCCACTCCTTTCAAAAAGCTGAGCGCCTTCCTATCACACGTGGAGGATGGGGAACACATTTGAATATACATATATATATATATACTGTATATGTATAACCAAATGCCAGATGAAGAGACGGGCCCCAGATGTTGATCAACTACAGCTTTTGCTGGCTCAACTGGCAAGAACAAGCAGGCACCGTTGACTGTTGACTTCCCAATCTTGGGCGAGGATATGTTGTTGTGACAGTATCCTATGATATCCTATGCATTTCCTCACCTACACACTATGTCCGCAGTCAAGATTCATTTGGATTCTGTTGTTTGTTGCGTTTATTCCTTCGCCTTGGAGGAGAAGGGTTGGCTGGCTTTGAAGAAGAATTCCTCGGATCCCATTGTAACGAGGCACTGCTTGGATCAGTTGTGCTATGGCTTGTCAAAGTTGCAACAGGATTTTTCGAGATCACCCGGATGTAACAAGCTGGAAACCGTGGCCAAAGGAGGTGACAACCTGATTGCATTGGTGCTCAAGAAATCGGCCTCAAATAGAGAAACCTCCCAAGGCAACTGCAGAGGTCGAGGAGTCCAAAGGACTGCGTGGGGCACTGTTTTGGGACTTCAGCTTTGGAGAAGTAGCTTGTGAGGCACTGACTCCTCGCCCACTGAGGCCTCAATTCAGGCGCATTGCATTTGAGAAAATGAGTTTATCAATTTGCATTACATTTTAATGACAAGATTCAAGATAGACGAAGCAACTCCGGCACTCTCTTCGGAGCCGAGTCCTTGCTTGCCTTTTGCCTGAGATAGAAGTGGTTTGGCGAATCGGGAAACTCAAACCACTTTTGGAGGCTGGAGACAATTCTGGCACTCACATTTTGCGCATGCTGTGAGAAAAGTGCGCAGCGAATGGGTATGCTGAGGAGCTCAAGACGGAGGCAGCTGATGGTTGTTGGACCAGGGAAGACTGCCATAAACTGAGAAGCAAAGAACATGGAAAAAGAACACAGCGATTCTGATTCTGTTCTTTTGAGGCCTTCCGTTTTCAAGCGGGCATGTTCTCTGCGGATTTGAATGAATCTTCTGAATAAATGGACGCAGCCTTGGGTTGAGCCTTCTACTTTGTATTCCATGTGACTGGTCTCGGTGGTACGGCTTGTTTCTGCATCAGCCCTGAAGCTTTGTAAGTTGCTCGTTTCAATCTGTGTCTGAGTCTGGGCATTCTTGATCCACGCATGTTCATGAAAACCAAAGACTGGTGTCTACCAGATGATGGCACCAGGGACAAGGATCTACATCGGTGCTGCAACCAACTCCAATGTGTCATTGGATTTTAGAGGCGTACGCCCAACAGCGGGCCAGCAGGGGGCCCAGTGGCAGGCGGCAGAGGCGAACAAGTGAGAGTGGTGGTGGTTGTGCTTGTTGGTGGTGATGTGGTGGTGGTTGTAGTAGTTGCTGTGGTTGGTGTTGTGGTTGTGGCTGTGTCTGTGGTTGTTGTGGTTGGTGCTGTTTTGGTTGTTCTCGCTGTTGTGGCTGTGGTTGTGGTTGTTGTTGTTGTTGTGGTGGTGGTAGTTGACCAGAAGCAGAACCAGAAACATAAATCATACACGCAAATAATGCAAGGCAACTTGGGCCATCTAAGTTCATCTTGAGGGAAGGGGGGTGCCCTAACCAACATGTCAGGTTAAGAAACAGATACTGTACATGTTCAAAAACATGTCTTCAACAAAGGCTTTTTAGGTTTTTTTTTTTAAATATTTTTTGTGCTTGCCTTTGTATGCAAGAGCACATCGGTATTTGCGAGGTTTTCTCGCCTCTCCGCTTTCATCCGAGAAGGTCGCCAAGCCTCCTCCCTAATGGCCCTGCGAGTTTACCACAGTTTACCCGCGCTATACCCGCATCTGCTTGGTGGCTGGGGGCCACATTCGTCCTTGCCCTGCACTTTGGCAGTGGGGTCCTGCGGATCTTGCAGACTTGCCGGGGCGAGCCCCCTGCGGGCCCGATTATATAGATCAGCGTGCGCCATCGGATTTCAGCCGGGTGCACTACAGCTGGAATTGCGTGTGCAAGTCCCTCGGCCCTTGTTGTCAGGACTTCTTTTACCAGTGTTGGAAGTGCTTAGTGGCATCAAAGGCGGCTGGCTTCCCCAAAATGACTTGACTGTTTAAGGGCCAGATCTGGTTCCATCACTACTGCGACGAAGGGCCATGGATTTGTTCCTGGTTGCTTTTGCAGTGGGTAAACTTGGCCTGATCCCGTTTGACTTTTGTGCCAAAGAGTGGTCGAGCACTCACTGTCAAAGCTCTGCTTCCCCGATCGTTTTGCTGCGTGTGTGCCGAAGTCAAAGTCGTTTAGCAGGAGAGCTGGATTGAATTGGTTTGGCAGAGTGGGAGAGAGGGAGGTTTGATGTCACAAAGTTCGCTTGGCTTGATTTACCCGACAGCCAGTTCTTAGAAAAGATTTGAAAAGGGCTTGTTGTTGTGTTGAATTGACGTCGACAGCCTATCCTCTTTGCTTGTGTTGGGATGAGCTATGCATGCTCTTCGGTTTGCAGTCTAAACTGTTTAAAGTTTATATTAAAGCCCAACCTCTTCAGATACACGCAGTGTCCCAAACTCAAGTGCAAGGTGCCGCGGCTTTGAAAGCGTATGCTGACAGTCATGAACTCTGGTGAGCCCAACGATTGCTAAGATCGTCCATCATTGCGCATCTAGGGGATATTGCCAGGCTGAAGAACAACAAGAAACGCATTGGTCCAGATGCACTACTGTGCAGCCTGATAAGTTCAGAGCTGGAGGACCTATTCCAAAGCTGCAATCTGCAAGTTGTGATGTACATTTGAGTTTGCCCCATTTTCAAGTCTAATGACACGGCCAGTTTTCCAGGTTCAGTCCGGACAAAGTTATTCTTTGGATGGCTTGGCAGACGATGTACTGAGGACTTCGTGCCAGTCTCATGGTTGATGATGGTTGCATATTAAGAACACTTCACGGTTGTTTTCCTTTGGGAGGACTTTGCCTTTGTGCCATCGAGTAACCGCTCCGCAACTTGATAGAAAGATACTGAGCAAGTGAAGTAAAGTATAATAAAGTGACAAGTTTCACTTTGGCACTACAGTTGCAGGAGGTTTATTCACGATATGGTGTCAATTTTGACCATTGTAGGCAAGGCGGTGCCGCAGGCGGCTTCAGGCGGTATGTCCGCCCGGGAAAGCCTCCAGTTGTGCAGGCGGTGCAAAGGTTGATTTCGAGGGTAAAGAACATGAAAGAAACAGAGTGAAAATATATAAATGAGAGTAAATGTACACGATGTGCCCTGCAAAGCGCAAAGAGATGCTGATGAACTGACGAAAGGGAGAAAGCCAATGACACATGTCAGGTTCGCACAGACACTCGGAGAGGGCATCACGTCACTTTGATCCACGGGTTAGAGGCAAGCTGCAGCAATCTGTGAAAGTGTTAAATCCTGAAATTCTGTACTGCAAACGGTCTTTGGTCTAAACTCACGAGCTATCACAAGCTACTGGTAAGATTTATTGAGTGTTCCAAGTGTTTTTCCTTATTGAAGTTATCATACCAGTATATACCAGTATAATATAGTATAATCCAGTATATACGTGCCTTTATCCTCATCCTTTCTTTGTGAACAAGCTGCTGGTACTGCTAGTATGCGTTTTTCATATTTCTGCGTTTCGGCTCAGATTTCCTCCAGACATGAATTGATCGAAGACGGATGCCAAAATGGACTCATGACCGATCACACTTCCAGAAGTTCCAAGAATGACACAACAATTGCATCGTTGGCGAAAGCATCCGGGAACAAAAGCCAAGAAGCAATTATTTGTTATTAAAAGTTCCAAAAAGCATTTGTTTGACTAGTTGTGCCATGGATGTGCTAGATGAGCCTCCGCCTCAAAGGCCAGAAAGAGCACAGAGCCTCTCCTCGTGACATGGTGCTGTGTTTGTTCCATTTCTGTGGTAAACATGGCGATATGGTTTGGAGGTTGTTTCCATGCTACAAAACTATATACGAGCAACTGCCAAAACCTCCGCGCGGTCCGATGAAGGCAGCGTCACTACAGTGAAGACTAAGTAAGTAAAGTGAAGGAAACCTTCAGGAACGATAAGGTTCACAAAAAACGATAAGGTTTAGTGCCTAGGGACTGAAAACCGGACCCACTTTTCTGACATTTTTGGACTCCACGACGCTTGGCCATGTCATCACATGGTGTTGGGGGCGGGGGGGGTGGGGTGAGGGGTGAGGGTCAAATTCCCCGCAGGGGAGCGTGTAATACACAGTATCCCTGGATTCAACTCACAGTCCAACAACGTTCACAAGAGCGAGTGAGCGAAGGGGATCGAGCGGCTGTTTCATACCTTGAGCCAAATGTTATGGCATGTCAATCTCTTCCTTGCGTAAGAGCATGTCGCAAGATAACCAAGTTGAAGCAATAGCGTAAACAGGGCCCCAAAGCAGAAAACATTAGGGGGATGTTGTAATTTCGCTCTTGTTTTCACATACGTCTCATGGGCATCAAGGCTCAACAAGTAGCCACGGTGTGTGCTTTAGTTTTGTTGTTTCGGTTGTCGGGTGTTCCTTGTCCTCCTCATTTTTTGTCTTTTCTTCCTTTGTGGTGTGTCAACCCTTCTTCTTTAGACCAGTACGTAGACGGCTTAACTCGTGACTGTTCTGACCATTTAGTTTCTTTTGTTCACGAAGCAGTTTTGGGCTCAGATCGTGGCTGGGTAAACTGGGAGCAGGTGTTAGAAGCTCGTCTTTCGTTGTTCACACTTTGGTGCAATGTGTGGCTGAGGTTTTCTTTTGCGAAAAATTCAGAAACTAACTCCTTTTCTGTTAGTGACTGTTGGTGTTGAGTTGGCGTTTGTTGCGTAGTTGTAGGAGCTCCATGTCGGATGGGTGCGCCGCCGCTGATTTGCTCGACAATGGCATCGATGAAAAGGACTTGAACTCGGAGCCTGCCTGGGGACAGCTAGTTAGTTACACAAAAACAGGCAACTTGAGGTGTCACGAAAAAAACCGTGTTTTATTTAGGCAAAACGCATGACAAAACACTGCGTTTACCAATGAATTTGACATGAGAAGCTGCAAATTAAGGTACGGTTTCCAATCCGTACGGGGCTTAGTACATGTTCTTAGGTGTGTCCAAAGCCTCGGGAACGATAAGGTTCACAGAAAAACGATAACGTTGGGAAGAGCGCGCGCTACAACACATAAGAGGTTTTGCATGTTGCTCATACGTTGGCAGACAAGACAACGTGTAGTAGTAGTAGTAGTTGTTGTTGTTGTTGTAGTGAAGACAGAAATGAGTTGAACAGGAAGTTTAGCAGGAGTTCGTGGAAGGACAATGTGAAACAATGTCGCTGTTTTGATTTAATCATAATGTGCATTGTGCAATGTTGATTTACTTTGTTTGCATTTTCTTTTTGGGCACATTTGTTTCACGCAGAAGCTGGGGAGGCCCAAACTGGATGTATCCATGGCCGACCTTCGGGAGTCGTTGGCTGCACCAATGCCTGGAGCCCCATAAGGTCGCAGATGGGTTTACCCGTTGGACCTGTTTGGTTGTTTGTTTTTTTAAAATCATTTTTTCCATGACTTCCGATACGTTGTTGTTCTTTCCAAGTTGAGTAGAAGTAGACCGCTTTCCCCAATGTATTCTTCTCGACACCAATCCGGATGGACATGATGGACATGCCTCAATTCAAACTGTTCACTTTTTCAATTGTATTGATATGTATTGATGTATTGAATACAGTTAATTATTATTGCACAACCACAGAGACAACGCATTTTCTTTGGAGCAACAAAGATGTCTTATCCTTACTTGACCTATGTTGAACCCAAGGGCCGGGAAGGCACTTTGTTGGCACAGGTTGCATGTTCAACAAATGCCATTTCAGACAGTTTCGATCCAGCCGCAGCACTCGGGCATCCATCGAGAGATGCAGAACCATAGGCTCCAAAGGCAGAGCAACTAAATATTATATACACCGCTAGGACAAAAGTTTTTCTCCTTGACGGTTCCAAAATTTGAACCCTTTCACGGTATAGAATTCTAGCAAGACGCTTATGTCAGCCTTGCACGGTCGAGTTTCCTCCTAACCTGTTTAATTGTTCTCTTTATATTTATATAAGTTTAAACGAGGGTGATAATTGATCGTCCCACTGGCCACGCGAAATGGACTTGAGCTCACTTCTTTATTCGAACGCAGCTCATCCACATAGATGTTATAAGACCTGGTAAGAAGAAAACACATTTTTCCTCCTGAAGTATATATATTACTGTATGCGAAGTAGCTCAAGTCCGAGCTTTTCCACAAGACCTTAGGGGCACTCTTTTGTTAGATGCCGCGGAATCAACTGTCTAATTTGTACTCCCCCGTTTTGGTCAGGAGGCTCTACCTGGAGGATGCATTTAACAGAAAGAAAAGCAAGCGAAACAACACTAGCACCACAATGCAAAAATCACCAACCACTAAGAGTCCGTGCTGGTTTGCTGGGAATGTGGTTGACTGTGTTGTTTGCTGCAATGTGTTAGTAAGTTGTTGTTTGGTGTATGTTGTGTGTCTTCGATGTCGACGAGTCGGAGTCCTGCTGCACGTTTGTGAAGCTCTAAGTTCATCATGTCGAATGCGCCAGCGTTGACCCAACTCTTCTTGAACTCCTAAGAGCGATGGCCTCCTAGCTTCTTGTTACTAGTAGTAAGGATGCTCCTAGTAGTACGGCCACGAGCCCCTAGTAGTGTTCTTGCTCCTAGTAGCGATGCCAGGAGCCCCTAGTAGCTTCTTGTTCTCTATATAATGTCTTTGTAAGAACATTGGCAAGCACCATCGACGCAACAAATCTCAACCCCACCTTTATGAAGATGTTTTTCCCGAAAGCATTGCGAAGGGTTCTTCCGGAAAATCCTTTGAA